GGTTGGGGTGCGGGCGGGGGTGTGGTGTGCAAGAAGGGGCTCAGGGCAAGGGGTTGGGGGGAGGAGGGGTGCGGCAGGGGGTTGGGGTGCAGCAGGGGGTTGGGGTGTAGGTTGGGGTGTGGGCTCCGGCCTGGCACTGCTTACCTCGAGCGGCTCCGGGTGGCAGCAGCATGCAGGGGGCTAAGGCAGGCTCCCTGCCTGCTCTGGCCCCACGCCGCTCCCGGAAGCGACCAGCATGTCCGGCAGTGGCTCCTGGGGGTGGGGTGGGGCAGGCGGCTCAGCTGCGCGCTGCCCTTGCCTGCGGGTACCACCCCCAAAGCTCCCATTGGCCACGGTTCCCTGTTCCCGGCCAATGGGAGCTGTGGGGGGTGCTGCCTGCAGGCGAGGGCAGTGTATGGAGCCCTCTGCCCCTTCTCCCCCAGGGGCTGCAGGGACGTGGTGCCAGCCGCTTCCGGGAGCGGGGCAGGGCCAGGGCAGGCAGGGAGCCTGCCTTAGCCCTGCAGCACCACAGGGCTGGCAATCCCGCAGCCTGGATTGAAAGCCCTGACGGGCCGGATCCGGGCCGTAGTTTGCCCTCCCTTGGTGTAGATGGTTTCGGAGTGACACCTGTTTAAAATTCTTCTGCTGTAGCTGTTCTTCCCCCTCTCACCCTGCCCTTATGCTGAAGTCTCCTGTCTGCACTCTAGGTTTGGAATCTGCCTTGTCCCGCTCCTCTCCGAAGACAGGTACGACTGCTACAAATGCCACTGGTGTGAAGGCAAAATGCGAGGCTATGGAATCTGTGAGTAAGTAATGCTCAGAGCACGACCTCCGGGGAGCGCAGTTTCCTACCCGCTTGGCGGGTGGCTGTTCACCTCTCGGTCACAGAAGAGCGAATCACAGGGCAGGCCACAGAAGGAATCTGCTGTTCCTGCTGCCCCAAAGCCCGGCTCCGTGCTGCCTTGTTCTGCAGCAGCATGGGGCTGGAGGGGCAGGGTGGAGTGGCTGATTGATTCCCCCGGGCCTAAAATCTCCTACGTCTAGGAGTATCGCAGGGCCCTGGTCCGGTTTCCCGGCCTGTGGGCCTTAATATAGGTAGCAGCAGCCATGGGACACTGCAGCCTCTCCGCACCATGGCAGGACTAGCATTTTGGGGTCAGTCAGATACTTTCTAGAACAATCTTTGGTGTCTTGTCCTCTGTTTAGCCTGTACCGTGCTGCCTAACCTAGGCTGTGTGTGCATCACTCCTTGATGATCTTAATGATGCACACAGCTTTCTCCTGTCTTTTTTGCCTGGTGTGCTGGCTGGGCTAAATGTGCACCTGCACCTTCGGCGGGCAGGGCTGGAATTGTTCTCCTAGACCGCTAAAGCAAACAGGGCAGTTGGCCTAGCCGTGTTCTCTTGGATCTGGTTTCCGGGAGGACTCCTGGACCCGGAGTCCTGTCCAGTTAAACACTGGAATAGAGGGTAACATGAGTTCTGACGGGGTTCCAATAACGCTTTCCCATTGAGAGGCGTTAGGTTCATGCCACCCTTTTCCTGTTCCGCTATGTGGTTCCCTGTCGCTGAACTATAGGGGAGCTGGGTGGAACCCAGACTGAAAAGAGCTATGTAAGGGAAACACCCATATTCTGCATCGTAACACCCAGTCATCCTTGTTCAGCAAACACAGGACTCCAAAACAGAGGCCTTCTCAACTGGAGTGTGTTTGTACATAACCCTCTAACTTCCAGCCCAGGTTGACTGATGGGGACAGGGACTGTCTTCTCTTGTTTGTACAGCACCTTGCACAGCGGAACCCTGATCCTTGCTGTGGACCTGTTGGTGCTTCTGTAATACCAACTTGGCTATTCCAATCCTGATATAGTTAACTTTATAAATACCCACCAACGCCTCTGCCGTCTGAGCTCTAGCCAACCTTGCTCTGACCCTCTCAAATTGGTGGCAGTCGAGAATACAACTTAGGTCTCTGGAGTGGGAGTCAGACCTACCGGGCAACTCTGCTGTGTTTCCTGTGATGACTTCTAGTTATGCATGCTGAATTGGGCTATCAAATCATGCTTTAGAATGCAAGATGTTTCCAGGAGTCAACAAGGAGTGTCTCCATGTGGAACACTGCTCAGTTGGCCAAATGCATTCTGGGTTTGCCAGCATCTGAAGCAGCAAGTACTTGCCCCTTCTGGGGAAAGGGTAGTTGATGGAGTGAGCGAAAGTGGCAAATACTATGATAGGATCTTTTAATGCTGGCTTTTAATGTCTACGTTCATAATGTTCTGCAGAATATACCTGCACTGTTGACTGGACTGAGACATATAGCAATAGTTCTCTAGCTATGTTAAAAGTTTAATCGTTTTACATTACAAATAGGCCATATGAGGGGAACTCGGCTATACTACTCGCGTAGTGTCTCTCGTGTTTGGAGCATAACATCATCTAACCTTCACAGTAGCCCTATAACTCTCCACATTGTTTTCTTTCTAGAGGCAGAGGGAGATGCATTGGCATGTATAAGAATTAGAACTAGGGGCTGGCTTATTCCCCGGCCTATGCTCTCTGAAGCCTGAGTGGCTAGTGTGTTAGAAACAAAACATAAGAGACTCTATACTAGCTGCAATCCAGCTGAGGATGGGAGTGACCCAGTAGTGTTACCATCTGCCTAGTTGGCTGACAGCCTGAGTGAAACCAGGTGGGTTTCAATCCCAGGGCTGGTCTACACTGGGTGAGGGGGAGGAGGGAGAGGGGATCGATCTAAGATACGTAACTTCAGCTACGAGAATAGCATAGTTGAAGTCGACGTATCTTAGATCGACTTACCTCGCATCCTCACGGCACAGGGTCGATGGTCTCTCCGCTTCGGCCTCTCGCCCTGGTGGAGTTCCGGAGTGGACAGGGAGTGCGTTCGGGGATCGATTTATCGCGTCTAGATGAGACGCGATAAATCGATCCCCGATAGATCGATTACTACCTGCCGATCCGGTGGGTAGTGAAGACGTACCCCCAGTTCCTAGCGAACAGGTGTCGGTATGACACACTCTAGTACCCTTATTGGCAGTCTCCATTGAGAGGTTAAGGACTGGACTACCCCCCTTAGAGGAGCGTCCAAGTTCAAGGCTTAGATTTGGGGTTCCGGTTGTCTAGGCCCATCTACTCTTGTCGCTGTAAGTGGTGTCTCGTAGGGCAGGCTTGATGCATGCTGTTAGGGAAGCTTGCACCACTGTTAACTCTGCTCCCAGGAAACTGAAGTCCTCTAGCACTAAGCAAGGGCAACCGCAAGAAAAATAGGTAGTGCCTGCTGGTCTTAAAGATGATGCTGTCCATTCTCTCTCTAGGTATGGAAATGAGACGGTTTACAAAGGATACTTTAACGATAATCTGCGTCAAGGATTTGGCATCCTGGAAAACCCTTCAGTGGAGCAGCCATTTAAGTACACAGGGCAGTGGGATAATGACAAGAAGAATGGATATGGAGTCTGGGATGACAAGGACAGGTAATGTTATGGAAGGGAGCTCAGCAAATGTTCACAACACCTGGGTTTTCAGCATTCCTTGGTCTGAAGCATATTCGACTTGAACTTGAGATGGGCAAAGTTTGAGTTGTGCTGAGGGTTGGAAATTCTGTTTCGCAAAGGATTTTAAAATTGGGTTTCATTCCAATTTAGAACAAACCCCCAACACTTTGAAATTCTCCATGCAAGAAACATTTTAGAAAACCCTAATTTTGGGTCGATTGAAACACTTCCTTTTGATTTCAACCTTATTTCTGTTTGAAAACTAAAGTTTTCCAAACCCATTTTTTTTTTCAAAGCAAAAAATGGAAACCCTTCATTTGAAAATCCTGAATCGGGACGTGGAGATGGTTGGAACTCTTTCTAGCTGTTCTCCAAAATGAAAATTGACACAAGTTTGCAAGGTGACTAGATTTTGATGGAACTGCACTTTCCAACAGATAAAGGGTTCCGTCAAAGTTCAGCCTCTAACGGGAACACCTGAGATGACCTGATATGGATGTGGGTGTGCTGACCCATATGACTGCCTTGGAACAATGTAATGATGCCAGAATATCAAGCTTAGAACCATGAGTGCCCCTTGCAGCAAAATCCCTTGCAGCAATAGCAATCTGAGTTGCAATGACGTCAGGACCACCAATGTTCTGCAAGTTGTGTGCAGGATGGCTGTAGAAAGAGTGGGATGGGTGGGGGCCCCTTGCGTGCATGACTCTTCCGGCAAATGGAAATGTATATCTGCGTTTGTGGCTGGATGGCTGTTAAGTACGTTACTGATGTAGGGTCAAAGAACATTGAAAAGAAACATGGTTAAATCAACAGTACGTGGATTGAACTTGAAGCTTTGATCAACAAAAGATCTCCCTGGCTTTCCAAAGGCTTCCTGCACAATCACTGACCTGCTGACAAGGGTTTATGGAGGAAATCTGTAGCATGTCGCCAAGATGGGAGGACTTACCATGTGTGGACAGCTCTACCTTGCTGGTCTATGTCCTGTCCCTCAGTCAAGTATGGGCTTGTAAGCAGGTGTTCTCTGGCTCCACTTACAAAGGGGACACTCGGATCTAGTCTTTGGGGGAAGGTGTTCAGGGGGGTTTGACTATGCCACGATCATGGTCCAATCAACACTTCCTCCAGGTTAAGGTTGGTCCCTGCTGCCTTCCTACCAAGGCGTAAGACTTAGAGTCGCCTCATTGAGAGCAGATCATCCTCTCTGGGTACCAGAGCTTTCTGGAAGATTCTACCTTGTCTCTGGGCTGGGTGTGGTTAACCGGGAGGGAATATCAAAATCTTTCCCAATGCCTTTGACCCATAGATAACCCTTCCTTTTACCACAGTCTGCACAGAACTATGTGACAGCTGGGGAGAAGCCTGGAAGACAAACAACTCCATTGGCTGCATCGCAGGAAATATATGCCCTAGTGGACGTTCAGGCCTTATCTATGCTAGAATTTTAGCCGTGCTTTTCTGCTGTCAAGTAGAGGCTTGAAACAGGGGAAAGCACCACCAGAGTAAATAATATGGGATGTAGGGAGGAGGCTTTCACCTGTGCAGCTACACGATGGGTGACATCTGGGCTAACATCAAAAGGGGGGAAAAAAAAGGTCTGACATATATGAGATGCAGAGACCTGACCGGTGGCACCACTCTGGATAGCGGGTCATCAGAACCACGCAGCCTTTCCCAACTTACTAAATCTATCTCTAATTCACACACTTAAACACCCGTCCAAAGTGAATGTTCGAACAATCCCTGACGTCTTTCAGAAGCTGTGCACAGCATAAGGATCAAACTCACCCCAGGTGTAAGCAAGCACCTTCTTTCACCTGCTGTGAAGCTGGCTTATTGTCTTAGTTCTCAATGGCCTTGTGCAAAGTTCTCCAATGATGGTGTATGAGGGCCTCCTATCTTGTGTTCCAGAGGGGAGAGGTACATTGGGATATGGCAAGATGACCACAGGCATGGACAAGGCATTGTGGTGACCCAGTCAGGCGTGTGCTACCAAAGAACGTTTCATGTGGATAAAATGGTGGTGAGTAAATAACTTTCCTGTGGATACTTTAGTCAATAGACCACGGAATCCCTTATCAAGGGTATGAGGAAAAGATGAGAACACACTCTTTTATTAAAGTAAGAATCTTTCAGATGTGTAGGAGGCAGTTTGACTTAAGCACTGGTTTCTTACCACAAGATCATCACTTAACTTGTGGGGAAGCCCAGAACGCTTCATGTGATGGGACTACCCCATAACCAACTGCAGCCCCAGGCTCTGCATTTTTCACCACCTCCCTAAGGTGCACCCACATCTGAACTGGTACATATGGGGTATCACTACCTGCTGGTGATACTAGAAAAAGTGTTTGCATCTGAAGAAGTGAGGTTCTTACCCACGAAAACTTATGCTCCCAATACTTCTGTTAGTCTCAAAGGTGCCACAGGACCCTCTGTTGCTTTTTACAGATTCAGACTAACACAGCTACCCCTCTGATACTAGAAAAAGTGGACACTACATGAAATTGAAAGGAAACCTACATATCTGTATTACGGCAGTCCCTGTATTAGGAGACCCAACCATGAAACTGGGCCCCATTATTCTAAGTGCTGTACAGGCTTGTAACAACCTGTAAACTCCTCAGGGTGCAGGCAAAGTAACAATTAACACGTGGAAGTTGTTGCCACAAGGTTCTCCGTAGAGGCCAAGCATTTAGTAATACTAATAAAAGGATTATCCACTTGTATGGATAATGAGAACCCAGTGTCACTAGCAAATGACTAGAGAGGGACAGAAAACAAACAGAAATCTCTTAACATATAGCAATTTAATCCTGAATCAGTACAAAGTCAAAAACATGACCCTTTTTCCTGAGAACTGAAAGGGAATTTGTTCCTGGATGCCAACCTGGAAGATGCTAGAAAGTGAAATTGACAAGAGCCTATTAGATGGGCAGCTGTCACCTCACTTTTCTCTCAGAACTATTTAATTTTGCAAACAGAGCATTTTCCACAGGGAAATCCTTCTGCTGGCAGATTGCCAACCAGCTCTAAAAACGACCTCTTGTTGTGTGCACGTCCGTCCTTCCTTCCTTTCGGTTTCAGGGCCTAAACAAACAGTGACGGAAGTCATGAAGCAACTTCCCCATGGGCACAGTATTCTGTGTTTGGCCACTCCAGAGTTTCTTGTTGCTTCCTCCGAAGCATGCACTACTGTAACCTTTGGATTTCGTAGATGCTGACACCAGCCTTTAATGGGTATGGGGATATGTAGTGGAGTCATACTTGTTACATTACTGGCCATGGTCAGAGAAGGGCTACTGAACTAGGACTACTGGCTTGATCTGTGTGGTAATTCCTTGGTTCCTATTGTACCACTGGCCACTTAAGTCAGATGCTTGGGATAGGAAATCAGTCTCTAACCAATATTCCTGTATGAAGGATAGCTCAGTGGTTTGAGCATTGGCCTGCTAAACCCAGGGTTGTGAGTTCAATCCTTGAGGGGGGCCATTTAGGGATTTGGGGCAAAAATCTGTCTGGGGATTGATCCTGCCTTGAGCAGCGGGTTGGACTAGATGACGTCCTGAGGTCCCTGACAGTCTATGATTACACCCACTTCCTTGCAAGAAAACTCCTTTCCCACCTAGTGCCTGATAGCTTATGTTAATACACGATCTTCCTCCCCACTATAACTTGCCATACACGCTGCACCCCACAAATGGCATGTGTCAGTGTGCCCATGTGTTGGACTTAACAGAAGCCAATGTGTCTCATTCCCCACTCTGCACTCAATGTCTGTTCTTCTATCACTAGGGTTCCGGGATTCTCCTCTTAGAAAATGATTCCATTTATGAAGGCAACTTCACAAGAGATCTGACATTTGTTGGAAAGGTGAGCTGCTTGCCTACCCTGCTGTGTTACTGCTAACTTTCAAGAAAGCTGGCACTCCTGTCCATCAACGTTCATACCTTTTTTCCTATTAGTTACAGCTCCTTTTATCACACTAGAAACTTTACAACAAAGGGTTAGTATGGTCCCATGTTTTCTGTGATTCTGCAGCTGCAGAATCAGATGCAACCTTTGTTTTTTAAGTTTCTAACCCTCATGGTGGCTTAGAGAACCCCACAAACTGGAACAGTGCAAACACAATGCTTTGGTACCGGCATCTGCACAAGCCTACAACAATAGCTCAGAGGTGTGAGCAGCCCCATTTGTTTCAATGGTTTCACTTTGAAACATGAAGATGACAATTTTAAATCAACACGTTGAAGCATTTCACTGATGAGCATGAACAAATATACAGCTAAGGCGCTTCTCCATAATCCTCCAGCTTGTTACAAAAATCCGTGCCAGGTCATACAAGGAATGTGAGGGTAGTATCACCATGACTTTAATATAGTGACTTACAGTCCATGTAGTGGTGCTCAATAACACATGCTAAGCATGGATCTTTGTCTCCTTCTAGTGGCTAGTCCACAAGAAGTTGACGGGTCTGCCACATCTTACAGCTAGCGTACTAGCGTTGAGTTTGCCTAAGTCCAACTAAAGCACTTAGGCACAACTACCACTGAAATTAAAGTTGGGTTTGAAAAGGTCCTTACTTGGGATCAAGCAGGCCTTGATCCCTGGTTCACATCCTAAGAAGGGCTGGCTCTACTGAATTACTTAGTTGCTGAGCTCATTAAACCTCCTAGCCTGAATCAAGCTACCACAGAACTTCCCATCTGCCACCCCAGAGTGCTGCAGAATCCCGAGACCTTGTCTCACAGAACAGCGCTTACCTGGGTAGTAAAAAGCACTCAAAAGGGATCTATTCTTGCAAGCTTTCCAGGCGCACATGTAGTGCACATTTTCCTGTGCTCACTTCACTACACCAATGATGCCAAGCCCGCTGGTGCCTTAAGGAACAGGGGAGAAACTAAACCAGAATTAGACTTCCAGATTGTATAGTCACTGTATCTTGGCGATTTGAGCCATCTCTCTAGGTTTAGGCCAGGAACTTCAGGGCAATGACTAATACCTAGTCCTACTTGCCGTATTGGACCCATGCATTTCTAGCTGGATTTCCACATCCAGAGTCCTATCAGTATGGGCAGTGTCACTCGAGTCAAATGGACTTCTGTCTCTTGGCTCCTGGGATCTCCTGTCTTCGTGACGTTCTCTGGCATTGGGAGTGCTTTCAATGTATAGCCCTTCTAGTGGAAATAACCTTCTTAGACTTCCTTTTAGGGATCGTTCCTGCTTGTGGGCTTCACGAAAGGGGGATTGGAACCTTATCCAACCTCCTGCCAAGCGAGAGCTCAGTAGAATAACCCCTTTATTTTTTGTTTCAGGGAAAGCTGACCTTTTCCAATGGCTTCACTCTGGAGGGCACCTTTAGTAACAAATCAGGCCAAGGGCTTCAGACGCAAGGAATCTTGAACACTTCCAGTGACCAGCAAGATGCCTCAATAACCAAAGTGTGAGTGGCCGTAAATAACTCTGTGGGCTGTGATTTGTATTCCATTAGCACCGACTGAGTCCCCACTGTGCTAGGCTCTGTACATCTAAATAAGACAGCCCTTACCCTGGAGAGTGGAGTCTAAATAAGCAAGGATGGCCAAAGGAGAAAGAGAACCCTCCCCCACTTTTACAGACGAGGCTCTGATGTGCAGATGAACGACTTTCCTAAAGCCACCTACAGAGCCCGAGGAAGAGCCAGGATTTGATCCCATCTTGAGTCCAATCCAGTGCCTTAAGAACAAGAGCATCCGTTCCTCAAAGTCTTGAGGGTTTTTTGAGGCGCAATTTCTAGCCGTACATCCCATTAGGAAAAGCTTGCTACCTAGAAGGATTGTTAAGCACTGGAGCAGGTTGCCTGGGGAGGCTGTGGTATCTCTGTCACTGAAGGTTTTTAAGAACATGTTAAACACCTGGCAGGGATGGCCTAAGTATACTTGGTCTTGAGCGTCCCTTCCCCCCACCCCTACATTTCTATGATTCACAAAAAAGGGGGAAGGAGGTCCAATATTTGACCCACTCCCTGCCCCCTTCTTGATACTCATGCTTGCAGTGTACTGCCAGATGTGGCAGGGAGTTAGAAGGGACAGTGATCCAGGGACAGAGCGACAGCATGCGAATTGCTTAGCAGGGCATGGCTGGCTCGAATTAGGAAGCACCGTGGGTAGGCTGAAATATCTTACTGGGTGGTCAGAGCTCTATTTTCCTACGCAGCAGTCGCTCCTTGACAGGTGACCACATGAAAGCAGACAGTAATTCTGACTTGAACCCAATGGCCGGATTCCTACAGCACAGAACCTGTTGCAAGGCCCCCAGCAGCAGAGCCCTCTGTAGAGGGGTGTGAGATGCTCACAACCTCCCTCTCCACCAGGGAGACCCATATGTAGCCAACTGAGAGTGGCCGAGGCAGCTGGGTGATGCACATTGCAGCAGGGAAGTTCTGGATCCGTCTCAGCCACGCGGTTCCCGAGTTGACCTCTCTTGATACAACCCAGGAGTTAAGGCAGCAGTTGGAATGCCGCCAGCCTTCCCCTGAGATGAATTCCTGGACATGCAGCCCAGCTACACCATTTCCTTCTCCCCAGGATGTTTCCTCTCCACTGGTGCCTCGACTCCGCAAGAGCCAATCCTGTTTCCTCTGCTTGTGTAGCAGCAGCTACCAGCAGAGGTAGCTAGCCTGGCTCTGTTACCAGCTGCTTCCTGAGGCTCTTAAGCGAAGAGCCTCTAGATCTGCAGAAGCAGCTGTCAGCAAGAAGGAGAGCGCACAACACATGCCTAGTCTACCCTAGACCACCCATAGTCCATGTGCCAAGCTTTGGGACCCCCCTGGCCAAATGCATCTCATTGCCAGCAAAATACATCTAAGTTGACCTCTGCTGAACTTTGCTCCTTGTTACATCCCCTAGGATGCTCCTAAATCTCTCTGCCCCAGTGGTGTGGGCTGGGGCGGGAGAAAGTGTGTTCACGAGATGATTAGAAGGGGCGGTCGGTGGCAATGTAGGGAGTGGGGACGGAAGCAAGGCGTAACTTCATCTTTGTTGTGCAGTCAGCTGGGTCTTGATGAGTTCCCGGTGGAGAAGAGATGGCAGGGTATCTACGACCAGTTTCTGGGATTCCTCCACTCTGGCTGCAAAGAAGAAATGGAGGAGTCCTTCACCGGGTTCCATATACAGACAAGCCGGGAGCTGCGCAAGTCTCAGGAGTACCTCTTCTGCGAAAGGTGACAACTGGCTTGTCCCGGTGCAATGGGCTAGTGCGTTCAATTTTGGGGTTCAAGTCTTGACCTCGGGTTGTCCAGTCACTCCTGCGAGCCTGTCTATGGGTGGCATTGCCTCGCTGGGGCAGGTGTGTTCCGGCAGGCTAGAACCTGACACTTCCTTATGATTACTGTGCAGCTTATACTGTGTTCACCAAACACAACGGTGCTTCTCGGGGGAGAGAATTCAAGAGATTCAGCTGGTCAAGCTTGTCTTATACCCTGATTGATATGGTATTGGGAGGGATCTCGGTGCCTCATTGGCTGGTTTAAGCCCCCTAAGAATGACTTGGCCATTAAATGATGCTTCAGAGGGAGTGGGAAAGGTGGAAAAATAACTCCATATAAATGAAGTAATCTGGGGAGAGAGTCATTGAGAGAGACCATGAACACAAAGGGTGGGAGGTTGACTCTCCTCTGCCTTGTGAATCTGTTCATACTGTGCCAAGGGTAACACATGATTACACACAGCGCAAGGTAGGTGGCAGTTAGGCCCAAGGGGTGAACAACAACTCCTCCGTCACCCTTGTACTTGTTTTCCTCCCTCGCAGGGGGCCCGAGGATGTCTCTGGGAAGATAGAGGATGTCCTTGAAGAACTAGTTCAGCATCAGGAGCTGGAGTCGCTCCAGTGTTATTTACAAAAGGTACCCCTCAAAATGCACTGTGCGCCGAGGCTCTGGAGCACCCAGAAATGTGAGGCGCCCACCACACAAAAGGAACATGGTCCCTGTCCTGTAGAACACGTACATTAGGGCTCCAGTCCTGCCAACTGTCCATGCAGGCCGAGCGCCACTGGATCTACACTGAGCTGGGCCGGAGCGAGCGTAACATAAGTGAGGGTCCTAAACAGAAGAGGTGGGGTAGGGATGGGACAGGAAGGATGAGGTGACAGATCCTGTGGCTGCTCTGTTGGTTACAGACCCATTCCAGAGGCTTATGATCACTTGTTTGCTTTTCCTCCCCTTCAAGTAAAACTCAGCTCGCTGGCTGCTGAGTCCCTGCAATCTGAAAGCTGAGCGTGAAGACATAAACCCGGCCATGCCTTAAGTAGTACCTAGAGACCCCCTGACTGGGAAGTCCCCATCTTCTGTAATTCCCTGTGAAACAACCACTCTCTTTCTCCAGTGACTGGGGAAAACCAGGCACTCTAACCAATCCACAGCCAGTAACACCCAGAGTTTGCTCTTCTGAGTGCTACGCGAGCTGTGTGCTGGTGAGGAAAAGGGTTAGCTGGGCTGCCTTGGAGACTGAAGCTTCACCTCTAGCCTCCCAGCACAGGCTGTGGCAGTACAAGTCTACTGTTGTGTTGGAAGGACCAGCCCCAAGGGGTAATTCAGTCTCCTCCATCCCTTGACCTCTGCTGAGAGAGCCTGACCTTACTTCCCACTGAAGGTCAATGGCAAAATGCTATTTGTATAGCCGTAGTGCCTAGAGGCACCAATTGTTACCCTTCAGTGCGAGCAGGATTGGGTCAAGAGAATAGCAGCATTTTCCAATAGGATATGGACCTAAACAGTATCCTGCCTAGCCACCATCAGGCCCTGGCTAGAGGTCGAGCTGGGTGGCTCTCCATCCGCAGGGAGGCTACGTCCCTTTGGGATTTGCCCGGATATGGACCAAGGCCCACCGGCTCATCTTCCCTCGGCTGAACTGTCTCATTGGCTAATCTACGGCTTGGTTTTGAAGGCCCTCTCCTGCCAGTCCGAAGGGAGGACACACCCTGGCAATCCATCCCTTAAATGCAGAACTTTCCTCCACTGTCTTGCAGGCTTTCAAGTCTTCCCTGCACCCACTAGGAAAGCTGTTGAAGGCCCTGACGTTCGCTTTTCAGGCTACATACTCTGGGATCGGGGCAAACAAGCACCTACTGAACATGGCCCAAGAGGAGGTCAAGTACTATGCCAAGAAAATATGGGAGCTTTACCAGTAAGTCCAGTGTGTAATTGGCTTCCATGCAATCGTATGCTAGTGAGGAACACTTGCTAGATAGGCAATCTAATTCATTCTTTGGGGGGCTAGGCCCTGGATTAGTGCATCTAGTACTTCTGTGCAATCCAGTTTCTTTCCATCAGAAAGCTTACTTCAGAGGTTTATCTCTTTAGGTGTTCATGCCTATGACTCTCATCACTGTAGTACCTAGGTAAACTTACTCTCTTTTACTCCATATACAATCTTAGTGACATAGGACTTGCCAGCCTGGATCAGATGCATGGTCCATCTAGACAATTTCTTATCTCTGGCAGTGACCAGCAACAGATACTTCAGAGGAAGGGGTGAGAAATGCCATAGTGGGCAGATGTGGGGTAATCTGCCCCCATGAAGTCTCATGAACTATAGCTGAAGGAAATACTATTGTGAAAAATGACTATGGGAAAAACATAGCTCTGTCTTAATCCACCAATCTGTTTTGTGTATTCAAGGGTGTATCTCTTCACCCTAATGCCTTCAGAAAAGCGGTTTTGTCTTTTTTACTCCGGCGCAATTGGCAGAGCCAACACAACTTGCAGAATGGGTTGGATTCTGTTCCTCCTTGTGCATCAACAGGCTGGCTTACTAAGATCCAGTCTGTTAAGGCTGCCCTACAAATGTGATTGCTTTAGACAGCGTTAAAGTGCCTTGGAAAAGCATTAAAGTGGAATTGGAAAAGGTTCAGAAAAGGACAACTAAAACGGTTAGGGTATGGAACAGCTTCCGTATGAGGAGAGATTAAAAGAGTGGGATTTTTCAGCTTGGAAAAGAGACAACTAAGGGGGTTATGATAGAGGTCTATAAAATCTTGACTGGTGTGGAGAAAGTGAATAAGGGAAATGTTATTTACTCCTTCTCGTAACAAGAACTAGGGGACACCCAATGAAGTGAATAGGCAGCAGGTTTAAAGCAAATGTGAGGCAGTACTTCACACAATGCACAGTCAACCTGTGGAACTTTTTGCCAGGGGATGTTGTGAAGGCCAAAAGTATAGTGGGTTCAAAAAACTAGATAAGTTCATGGAGGATGGGTCCATCGCTGGCTATTAGTCAAGATGGGCAGGGATGCAACACCATGTTCTGAGTGTCCTAGCCTCTGTTCGCCAGAAGCTGGGAGTGGACGACAGAGGATGGATCACTCGATGGTTGCTCTGTTCTGTTTGTTCCCTCAGAAGCACTTAGCACTGGCCACTGTCAGAAGACAGGATACTGAGCTAGATGGACCATTGGTCTGACCCAGTATCGCCGTCCTTATGTTGTCTCTTCTAGAGACATAATCCTTTCCCAGCTGGATTCCTTATGGACACTGGTGATACAGAAACTCATTCTAGCAATGTAATACATTCCTCTGTTGTGAGCTGGCACTAAGCCTACAGAGTATCTTCAAGTCTTAAACCCTTTGCAGCAGTGGTTTCTGTGCAAAGTATGGGTGCCCCCAGTCCAGAGATCTAAAATAATTCTCTAGAACAAGTCATTCCACCTTCAACGAAGTATCCACTCATTTTGAATGCACTAAGTAAGCTGTTTGCCTCTCCTGTACTGTTACTGTTCTAGCTGCCAATTTTGCAGGGGGAGAAGATCTGGCTAACGTTAACTAGTAAATGACTGAGTTACCCTTGAAAATGAGAAGCTAAAGCTTCTACTTGCCTTTCAGGGGTTTACTACATCTGGCATTGGAGCAGAAAGGCCAACCGCTGGCAGAGACAGAAGATGGAGAGAAAAGGTGGCTGGGATGAATGGTCATTTGGTTTTAACTCCATATCTGTTTTACCTCTTCTGAAGAAATATTAGGCATGGAGACCATCCTGTTTCCTAGCCTTTGGTTGTGGCAATAAATCCACGTAGCTGGTCCAGCCACACTTAAGTGGAAAACTGTGCTAACACATTTTCACTCATTCCCACCTTATGGACTAGACACCGTGTTAGTTCGGACATTGGATGTGAGCTCAGAAACCACTGAAGGAGAGACAGCTCTGAAACATCAGAGGAAACAAAACCTCTCCCAACACCTAAATGAGTCACCTGGTTGAGCATTGCTTTATGTGGGGCAAAAGGGATGAACGATTTCTTCCTGACCTCTGTAGACCATGTCCTGCAGCCTGAGATCTGATTACTCTGATCTTAACTACTACAAACGTTCTATCCTATATTGGTCACAAAATTATCCAGTCGCAGCATTGGACTCTAGGAAGAGGGGAGTGGGGAGAAAGACAGACACCTCTTTAAGGTGTTATATGTTGAGCCTTAACTTGTGTCCTGTGTGGACACCACCTTTAACAAACAGATACCAACAATCAGTAGGGCTCATCTTTTGCTTTCCTCTCTAACTCAGTGACCTGAATGCATACAGAGTGATTCTGCCTCTGATCCTGCCCTGTTTCTATCCGGAGCTGTTCATGCTGTACATGCTCTATCATGAGAAGGAAGATGACCTCTACTGCCAGGGGATTGTGGACCTGAGTTTATTTCCTGACATTAAGCTGCTAGAGGTCCTGGACGTACAGAAGTGAGTAACCCAGCACTGAACAAATCCCCAAAACAGCTGGGAGAACACACTCTGCAGAGAAAAGTTCTGATGGGGGTGGGAAGCAAGAACTCACCAATGGACCCTATGGTTCCAGTACTCCTCATTCGTCCTAGTGCTTAAACTCTTCCTGAGCAGCAATGTCAATTCCTTGATGGAGTTCCTGTAATATACAGTACTTTCTTACAGGTCAGGAGTACTCTTAAAAGGCCAGGACTTTCATTTCCCATGCTGATCTTGTTCCCTTCCTTTCTGGAGGTCTCTCTTGAGCAAGAGTCTTTCCAGTTGCTTTACCAAGTGACTGGTTTACTTCAAGTTAGAAGGGTCCCACAGCAGCATATGGAGAATGGTGATTCACAATTGAAAGGCGCAACATGCTGTGGCATAAGCCTGACTCTCCACTCTGTTACAACCGGTTCTTAAAGTGGGGTTGTTCAGTTAATCCAACCGTTACTGGTTCCAGGCCAGCGCTAGAGTGGAGAATCGGAACTCATAAGTCTATGTCCATGGTGGTGATTCCACCAAGAGCAAGGGTTTGTCAGGGCGAATGGGTGAGTGAGAATTTAGACTCTAACATGGGGATGGGGTAGATCTGCACGTCATAACTGCTCTGTCTTCATCTCATTTCAGACACCTGTGGCCCCTCAAAGATCTCACCCTAACGACCAATCAGGTAAGTAGCAGTCCTGGGATAGATCCTCAGAGCAAACTGGAGTAGCTGTTCCAACTACAGTGAAAGCGCTTAAACTAATGGGGCCAGGCTGAATTACATCAGGTGACGATCTGGGCCTTTGTATTTAGATATGTGTCAAATAACACATCAGTAGCAGATCATGTACACGAGAGCATTGGATCCAATAGATGCAGGATACAGAAAAGATATGGACAATAGACTTCCAGTATTATCAATAAAAGTTCTATCTTATAAGTAGAAGGCATTTCCACTCTGTTGCAGGAGTTTATCTATCTGTATTATGACAGTTCATAGACACTCCAGTGCTAAGTACTAATTTTCTTCCTGTCCTAAATGATTGCACAGGGTTGCTGCATGATGCTAAACATCTGCATTCCGCTCTAGAGGTTTGCTCGGTCCAAACTTTAAAATCCAGCCTGGACCCAAACCTGAGCCAAGCCCAGCCGACCTGAGACTTGTTTTCAGAACTGACCTGACCTAAACCTGTTAGTGCAACCGCCTTATCCTTGGGGCTTGGCCTGGTGGGGGCTCCCTGTGCCCGCAGTCATTCTCCAGCTGCCTTCTGTCCGTGGGGTCAGGCTGGTGGCTGCCTGCCCCGCTCCTGCCGTTTGTTGCCATCTGGCACTGTGCACTGCAGAGCGAGTGTGCAGACCAGTCACTGTGCCTCACCCCGGTCAGCGCACACAGGGTCCGGTCATGTTGCAATGTCTGTTCCATGGGTGGCTGCATTTCATTAGCGAATAGATTGCTGCTGATGAAGTCCTCTGGGAGGAAAGGCAATCTATAGAAATTATTCTATAATATGTGCTTTGCTGAATCATGGGGTTTCAAAGACCTCCTAAGCTTCCCAAATGACTGTACCAGCACAGACAAAATGCACGGACAGTGCTGTGTGGCTCGAAAACTTGTCTCTTTCACCAACAGACGTTGGTCCAACAAAAGATATGACCTCCCTCCACCTTGTGTCGCTAGTAACCCGGGACTGACACGGCCACAACTACATGCGTACTAATGCAAACACTTATCTACCTTTCAGAGACGTTCTCTTGTCAAAGACAAGTGCTTCCTTTCTGCTACGGAATGTCTGCAAAAGTTGATGTAAGTGGTCTTCTGTGATTTCTTACTCATGCCTAAGCAGGGTTGGATGACATGGTCATTAAGATACCTGAGCTCTCAGTCTATGCTAGCGCTAGGGGAGAGGCTTCCTGAAAAAGATTAGCATAGACTCAGGGCGAGTGACTAATGCTGAGAGCTTGAGAAGACATAAGCTCTATTTGTGCAATGCCACAGTGGAGAGAGACCTTCCTGACCTCATCCTGGTGATCCCTTTATATCATGAAGTCTTGTCTTAGTTAAGGCAACTGGCCTTATCCATTCAAAAGACTGACACTCTTACTCTGCTTTGAGGTATCCCAGTAATGCCACTTCTCGCCTCTTAGCTGGGTAGCACAGGGCTTCTTTCTCAGTGTATCTTTATATTGGCAGCACTACTGTGGACCCCCGGGAAAAGCTGGAGATCCTTCAGAAGACCTATGAGGAGATAGAGAGCACTGTGTCACGAGTAGTGGAGAGGGACTATAAACTCCCAATGGATGACCTCTTGCCGCTGTTGATGTATGTCGTATCGCGGGCCAGGTAAGAGAGAGAGATTCATGTTTACCACTGCTAATATAAAGCAGAGTATCTCTTGCGTATGTGTAATCCACACACCTTCTGGGTGTGGTGTTCTGTCCCAGCTAGTGGCACCAAGACCACTTAGAGAGAGAGCTAAAATGAGTTTGCTCTACAGGCTTAGCTAACAGCCAGTTAGATCTTAGCTTATGCTGTAGAGGCTCATGCCCTCAGCTCCAGAGGTCCCTGGTTTGATCCCGCCCGCTGGGGTCTGTTGGCGTTACATATGCTCCATTAGGGCTGGCTGAAACTGTTTAATGGGAAATTTGGGGGTTTGATTAAATGAAGTATTTTGTGAAGTCTATTTTCACACTGGAAAAAAAAATCAAAATTTTCCATGGAGAATGAAGTATTTTGGCCAATATCCTGAAACTTAGATTTGGAGAGGCAGTGCCTCGTGGGAGTTGTAGTTCAGTTACCTCATGTTCCTATCCTCTATGGGCTGGGCTCCCTGGCTGGACTACATTTTGCAGCTGGACAACCTCCCTCTCCAAGAGGGAACACCATGGTGTATCATGGCAGATGTAGTCTGACCAGGGAGCCTGACCTATAGAGGAGAATGGGAGCAAGAAGCATGTGAACTACAACTCCCATGAGGCACTGGCAGCATTTCCAAACAGAAAAATTCAATTGTGAGTGGGAAAACTTTGACAAATGAGAGACTGTCCAACTGTAATTATGAAGTGTCTCCATATGCCACTGAAAACCCGTACTGCACTGCAGATGGAAAAGGCCTTCTGCTCACCCTCACAGCCCATGTTTTCAGTAGCAAGTCACTGAGATGAAAGAGCCCAAAGAAGACTGCTGTAGTTAGAGCACCAGACTAGGGATGAGGAGAACTGAGTTGAGTTCCTGTGTGACTTTGGGCTATCCAACTCTTTCTGGGACTCTGTTCCAATCTGTACAATGGATCTACTTCCTACTTTACTGGGATGTTGTGCTCTAATTCATGGCTGTGAGGGATTCTGAGTCTCTGGTAGGCGTCACTGAAATGCCTCGAAATTAAGCTTTACCAGTATAGAAATAGGTCTTAAATTACTAGTTTTCTGTAAAGAGAAACTTGTTGCCTGCGCTGTCTTCATTAGCGCTGAATGAACCAGTTCAGATTCGGTAAGAATGGAGCTGCACTTTTCTGAGAGGTTTGCAAGTGAACTCTCTCTCCACTCCTTGCACACGTCTGTGCTTCCCGGTTACGCTACCGGTCCCTATTGTGCTGTTTGCCACACAAGCAAAAGCAAGAAGCTTTGGGAATCTCAGATTCTGGCCCTGAGACCTAGAGATGGAAAAAACAGGATCATACATTTGATAAGGCTGCCCCCACCTGAAATGGTACGATGAGCATTGTCCCCCAAGTGCAGATGTGGAAACCGAGGCACAGATGTTAAGGGCTTGAATTTTCTTGGGTTCTGAACATCCAAAAGATCAGGTGCTTTGCACCTCCAAAAATCAGACTCCACTAGCTCCAGGCCACAGAGGAAATTGGTTCTGTGAATCAGAACTGGGTTCTTATCCCAGTTCTCACACCAGATCCTTATTGGATCATCACTGCCCTATAGGGAAGGTGCATGCTAAGTCCAAGATATTTGTGTCTGAGGATTCATTTGAAGGATGGCCACTATTTTTGTTTTCTAGAATACAACATCTAGGAGCTGAGATACATCTGATCAGAGATTTGATGGACCCTACCAATGAAGGAGGGATGTATGACTTTCTGTTAACAGCACTGGAGGTAAGGAAGAGGTTTCTAACAATGAAGTTAGATTGTAGCCGGCAAGGCTGCTTAAATAGTAAGAAACTATGAAAGTAATGGCCCTGTTGACCAAAGAAGTTGTGGGAGTAGCTTTACTGTGGATCGCTGACTGGCTGCTATTTTATCAGATTAAGGTACTGAATCACCTGCATGGAGCTGAATTGGTTTTTTGTTTTCCCCCCCCCCCCTCAAAATTGGGGTCTGAAAGAACGTCCTCGCCCACTGGCAGGAATCCTGTGGGAGGAGGTCTGCTCCTGGAGCATTGATTGATCAGCCTTCAGGGTTAGTTGGATAGATCACGGGAGTAGGTGGCTATTATTGCAGCCGGAGAAGCATTGGTGGACCATGGTCTGTACGTTAATTTGGTGTGTAGATGTTGGTAGTTAAACAATTTTCCCTCCTTACCCTGTTGACCAGCTCCAGAGTGAACATGTTTAATGTGTTTCTTTGTAGCTTCCAGTTCTAGTCCGTTTGCTTTAGGGAGATGTTCTGGCCTCAATGTACATTCATGAGACCATAATTTTGTGCAAAAGATCTCTCTCAAATGAACACACACACTTCTCCTGACTGATTCTGCTCTTTCTTCTCCAGTCGTGTTACGAGCACATTCAAAAAGATATGAGGCTGCATCAAAGGGAGACCTGGCATGTGGCACGTGATCCTTGACCTTCACAATCCAGAGGACATCTGGTTCATGCACTTTGATGACTGTACACTGTTAGGAGGTGAAGAGGGAATTGAGTCACCGCTGTTGTAGTTCACTTTCCAATGGGAAGAATGTTTGTTCTAGACCAAGGCTTTTTTTTTTATTATTTTAAAGTACAAAACAGCTAGTGTTTGGACTTGTGGTGATGCTTGCCATCTACAAGGAGCAAGATCCTTCCTCAACCTCTAACATCTTTTGCCCTTGACAAAACCTGGTCCTGCATTCCTCTGTCTGACATGAATAAAGCAAAATATGGTTTTTATGATGCCATCCATAAAATTACAGCCCAACTCTAATCCAAACGGTTGGATATTGACCTTTAAATCGTCAATTTTCAGCTAGTGTTCTGTGCAAACCCCAGGCCTTCCATTTTTCAGAATAAACCATTTTGTGGCCTTTGCCAAAAACGTCTCACCCTACAGATTAATCCTATTTTTCTGCATTTTACAAGTCTGCCTCTGCTCCATGACCTCATTTCACGTCCTCCTGTTTTTGTTTGCATTTATTTTGCAAGGCCAAAATATCCTGGGGTGGATGTTTTGATTTAAAAAAAAACCTTAAAACCAAAATGGAACTTCTCTGCTTTGTCTGCATGGTCCTGTCTGATGGAATCAGCGGCCCAGAGATAAGAGATCCTTTTCCATTTTCCCCCCCATAACCACTTCCCGGAGAAGTGAAGATACGTGTTGTATAGCGGAGTGACGGATCTTGCCCCATTGTCCTTGCTAGATATGCCGAGCCAAATCCCCTCTGCGCCATCACTGTCGCATTTTAAAGCTGCTATTGACTAACTTGATTTTTAGGGTACTTCAACTGTAATTATCAATATTTTTACATCCTGCTGAATCCTTTAATCTCAGGGATGTTACTCTCTAAACTTCCATGCCTTGTTGCAGATAGGGGCCACTCAGTTCACCTGGCGTACATGGCACCAGGGGAACTAGAACTGCCTTGCACTGAAAGACCTCTGAAATGCTGCAAGGCAATTTAATTAAAAATAAATGTGGTCTTGCACTACGGGTCCTGTGGAAAAGCCGGGATCTACTTAAAATGATGTCTTTAGGTGCTGACATGCTACCCTACTGACTCAATGGGGTGTAAATAGGACAGAATCTGACCCTATTATTTCTATGGTGGGTGTTTTTTTATTAGAAAGGTAAACTGTATCTAAATGTTGCACTCAAACTGAAATACACTAAATCTGAATGTCTGAGGTGCATATGAGAACAAAAGCTATATATTTTAGAATAATTAAATGGTGGGTTTTAACCTGTTTTTTTAAGATGTGGGACGGTGTGATATTGTAACTACATAAAACTACAGACTGCACCTAATTATCACAAGTATGTTTTAACTAAAGAGTACACTGGATGCAATTGTTAATATATTGATTTGGAGCTGTGTTTTTTACAGTAACTTTGTATTTAAATAAACCTGTTACATTTTTTTTTTTAAAGCCTCCCAAAATTATTTAAAGGATTTCTCGGCCCTTCTTGTGTTCTGTTTCAATACTGCTGCTATGCACCTTGTCCACCTCAAAAAGACACCCCACTCAGGCCCTTACCTCGCTGAGTCCTACTCTCTCAGCCTGAACCACCTTCATCTGGACTCGCCATAGTGTCTGATTGCATAATCAAAACACTTCCTAATTTAGAATACTCTGACAGTGTCTATGGCACCCTGACTGCATGGGGATAAACTGGGTGCCCTTAAACCAATTGCAGAGGATGTTGTGTTCCTATATGCCAGCTGTCATTCAAACTGCATGATAAAATGCGCCCCTTTGACTTGTTACATACTTCGCAACACCAAGCTTCAGCTGTGGCTACACTTTATACCATGTGCTTACACACTGCAAACACGAGTAGGGTGGCCTCAGTTATTCAACTGGAAACGAAGGCTTGGCACCTTTCAGGATCAGCCCTTCGTGCTTTAAGGAAGGTTCTTGAGGTATGTACATTGGCCATTGTGAGCACAGAATTTTCTCACAAAAGATGAACTTGCATCTTAAGTGCTCCAGCATGCATCCACTTTAAAACCTGGTGGCTGGTGTGTAACTGACACCTTCCACCTAAACTTATCAACCTGTAGCTACTGGCTTAGCACATCTTACTCCTGCAAAGCCACTGTGACTTCCACCATGGAGTTGCTTCAGCTGTATATCACTCATCAGGCTGTCAATTGCAGAATCTCTGTGCCGGATGGGAGACCGAGATCCTAAGAACACCTCAATCCCACCAGGTTCATTGTGCTGTAATAGCAACTCCTAACAGGCCTGACAAACTCACACCTAGCACACTGCTTTCATGGGAATTAGCCATAAAGAATGTCATGAGAGGTTTTCAATAAAAGCCGGGGTCACTCTTGTCATTACTATGATTGTGAAATATATGTACAGATACCATGCGTGAGATACTGCAAATATGTTCCTAAAATTTGAATCAAGGCAGGACTGACAGGTTTCTGGCAGCAAAGGACATATATTGCCCTGTGAACCGTGGCAAGCAGGTGAACTAAGCATTGTGAGCCAACACAATGGAAGCCCTGTCCCCAAGGTGGATACAGACTCACAGGGCTGCTACTCTGAAACCTGTTTGCATATAAAAGGCAACAGGAAGGTGTGAAGTCAGCACACCAGGAAATAAACCATAGGGTGCCATCTTGACTGGGAACAAACTGACATTGGGGAACATAAGGGGAAGATGCAAAGAAACCTCTTTATCCTGCACGTTAGGAAGTGCCATTATATTTCTGGGTTGGAAACACTGCAAGGAGGCAAGAATAGACTGCGTTTCAGCAGATGGTTAGCACGTTAAGTTGAGTCTCTAGAAAGCATGTGTTGATTTAGTTTAGTAACCTGTTTCCATTATCCTTACAGTCAACTTGTTCCCTTTGATAAATGTGTTTGCATTGTAAACAGCTGAGTGCTGGCGTGTTTATACAGCTGATCCTCAGTTGACTCAAACAAGTTCGTGTACATACTGTCTCCTTGGGTGCAGCAAATCCGGTATTTCTGTGAACAGCTGGTGACAGGTGTAGCCCAGTCCCACTGAAGCATGCCCTATTAAGCTGCACAGCAAAGTGAGGGCTGGCATGGGCCTTAAGAGATTGTTTGCGTGCCTCACAAACTGGTGATGTTGCACAGCTAACGCCCAATTATGCACCAACAAAGCTTCCTTCCTCTCTGGAGGCACCGTGGCAGGAGCCAGCAGAGATCTCGGGGTGAATTTGTGGTTCCGATGGTTAGAACAACCCCGGGTGCTCAGCTGACACGTCCTATTGTGAACAGTCTTCCCTGGAATGCTTAATTCCCACAAGCCTGGTAAAGAAAATCCACATTGTAAATACACCCCTAACCCATAACAAATGAATCTAGCTGGGTTGAGTCCTGTTGCTTATTGAATACTACTGTGAGTGTGGTAGAAGAACGTCTATAGAACAGAAGAACAACGTAGTCAAAGATAAAGACGGTAGGAGCAAGGTGAAGCATTACTTTCCAAGGTACTGGGCAAATATATACCTTGGATCATGGAGGTAGTGGACGCTCAGCTCCCACTGCACTCACTGGGAGCTGGAAATGCTGGGGAGCTAAGGTAGTAATTGGTATGTTGCAGGACTGGGTGCTTAATGGACTAAAATTTGCTCACACGCTAGTGTAAATCAGGCATGACTTCACTGAAGCCAATGGAATTCCACCACTGTGACTGAGATCCCATTCAATCCTCAGCCCACTGAAGGAAGTCTGAAGGGCAGAAACAGTTGCCATTGGCTGTATGACAAAGGAAAACTTGTTCAGTGCCAGCTGTGAACTGTTCTCCTTTCATAATTGCTCAAAAGTGGCAACTTTCCAATCCAAAGAGAGGCTCCCGGAACCCCTTCTTGAGCCTGTGCAATTTCCAGGCAGCTTTCCTAGCCAAGAAAGAAAAGTCTGATTCTTCCAGAAATGTTCAGAGCTTCGCATGGAAGATGGTATAATTGAGTATAGTTTCCCAGTGGCAGTCCAGAATATCTATTACTAAATAGCACACGCAAGACATGTTTAACATACTAATTCTGAAGGGTAGTTTAACCTTTGAAAGAATGAGATGTTCCCTGACCTTTTTAAACATTTTAATGTGCAATATTAAAAACAGCAACTTTAAGTGGTCACCCATACTGGTCACCTCAGAGGTCAACGACTGATTAAGTTTCAGCTCAGTGCTTAAAAACCTTCAACTATAAACTTAATGGAAGCACTAGTGGCTAGAATTAAACTTTTCACAGCCCCTGTTTAGAAGGAGACTAACTGCAAACCCCGAACAACAATGGGAGTGTTTTTTATAGTTTAACTGAAAATGCTTGTGAGGCCACTTCCCTTGCAGTCCTTTTCAATGTGTATTACCCTTACGTTCATAGGTTGTGCTATGTAACCACACAGCACTGCTCTTAATACTCTTCCTTTCATTAACACAAAGTCTAAGGCTACATACAGACTTCCATGTTTTTGCCTTTCTAAACCTCTTTTAGTTCAGTCTCTAGGTGATCTCAGTACAGAGAGGTGAACTTGCTGAAATATAGATGCTTTGGTGTGTAGAATTGAGAGGATACATCTCAAAAGTTCATCCTTTTGGTTCTAGACAACTCCAATGGCTGAATTTCCTACGTGGCTGATTCTTAGGACCATAAGTTCTTCCTGCTATGGTCAGTTTAGCTGTTTGCATTTCTGCTACGTGGAATGAATCTAATCGCTGACTCTGCTGGAGACTTCTTCCCTTTTAAGAGTGGTTTCAATATAAACAGGACATTTAATGTAGTGTACTCATTTTCCTAACCTGCTTTTTCTCTTGATTCTATATCCACGTCCTCCCCATCCACATTAAGGCTCATTGTGCTTAAACTCTAACGGGGGGGAAATAGGGAGACTTCTTATGATTTGTCTACATGCAGCTATGTTGCAATAGGTACAAATACTTGAATAAATATGGGACTATAACAGTGCTGTGTCTATTGCTGCTTTCAGGTGGTGTAGTAATGCCTCTGGAGGTGGGGACAGTGACTTAGGGTTCAGTTTCTTGAAATCCTCATTAGCATTTAAGGATGTTAACACTTGCACAGCCCTTTTTAAATCAAACACCGCATGGAGCATACCCAGAGCGGAGGTGGCAGCCCTGTGAGTGTTCTTTGCTGAAGCTTCTTCATCTAGAACGTGGTTTAAGACAGAAATCCTGTTCTCCGCGATTACCTTAAGGAAGTTGTAGAACTCCTTATAGTTTATGCCTGTGCAAGATTTCATGATTACCTAAGGGAGAAAAAAATTACATTAAACGTTGACTCCTTATTTACTGCACTAGTAAGAGAGTTAAAGGCAGCTGCCTTCTCAAGCCAGTAAGTAGCTGAAAACTCTTCTCAGTGTGTGACTCCTAGCTGTTATTTCCGGATGCCTAATTACAGTAAAATTCGTTAATTGACAGGAAATCTCGCTAGTCCCAACAAAACTCTTCCCAGTATCCCCAGAGTTTCCAGTAAACTTTTATCTGACCAGTTCTACGGGCTGGGGTTTCCCCAGCTCAATAAGACAGGATTTTACTATTTCCAGTAGAGAGAGATCTCATGCAGGGAAATACTATACCCAGCTTCTCCTATGAAACAAATAGCTAACTTAAGCACTAATTGAAAGGTCTAGAAATTGACTTAATGAGTGCAGATTAACAAACCGACTTTCTTCAGTCACACAATCATAGTCAGACTGGAAGCCCTTTGTTCTTCAAAGACCTATTGTTCAATTATCAGCAAGAACGTGAGGGAATATTAAAGGTTTTATTTTTACAGCCTGATAACTATTTATTTTAGAAACAAGGGACATACAGACTTGCTTTTAACCTATAGCACTTGCAGATTAGCAAGGTAACCAATAATGAGTTTCTATTGACATTTCAACGTCCCCAATATTTTTGAATCACATAACATATAAAAAGACTACTAACTAAATAACGGTTTCACAGTAATATGCCTGCTGCGTGAAAATGGACCTTGAAAACAATCACAATTTACCGCCCTGTTCTCATAACACGTCTTTCATTATGGAATAATTAAGATACTTCTCTTGTAAAACTTTATGGAAATAAGGTATTCCTTTAGCTGAAGGAAATTCCATCTATCCTGGGTAGTGCGTAGGACACCAGATGTTGATGTGGGTTCAAACACCAGGAATCATGTTACCAAGAGGCAAAGGGTGTTGCCAAGCAAATTACAGTTGTGCAAGTAATGGCAAAGTCCTGCCTTTGGAGAACTAAGAGTGCTGCCACATATGGAACAAGGAAAAAATAAAAGCAGGAGTGATATAAATGTACCTTCATCCCAATCCTATTATTATTATTTAATATATTTGTATCTCATCAGTACCAGAATCCTCAGGGTACATCTACACTGGAATACTGCGTGCAGATGTG